CCGACCATGGTTTGCGGAATCGGACTTTTCGTGGAGTTTTTGCATGTCTTTCTGATGCTCCTGCTTTCTTCTTTCAGGCTTGGGCATCTGGCCTGCAAAGCACTCTCGCTTGAGAACATCCCTTGTGCAGCCGTTTCTGCTTTTCCTTTTGCTGTTTCATGATGTAAAGAAAGAGAAAACAATACTGGCCAGTGTTTTGAATAATAGAAAGCAGATCTATCTATCTATCTATATATATCTATATATATCTTCCTTAAACTGCTCTCCTTGGGGGAGAGTAACAGACGTGCTCCACAGGCTCTGACAGGGTGATTCTTCCCTGGAGCTGCCGAGCTGGGTGATGTTACAGCCTGCTCTTGGACATGTTGATACGGCCCCTTGATTGCTTAAGGTATGTGCCTCTTCTTAATCACCTCTACTTGAACATAAGAGCTGTGCAACACTGTGACCTGGAAAACGTAGGCATTTCTGGCAACCCCAAACGTGAATGGCCCTCACTGACAGGGACTACTGAAAACCACAAGTCACCAGTTGAGAAACATCCCAGGATAAAACAGTTGAGGGAATGGAGACATCACACAAAGGCTATGTCTTTGAGCTTTAGAGGCCCCTGAGTACAGACTTCCTAAGAATGAATACAAGTTGGTGGTTGCAACCCCGAATGTTCTCAGGGCCTAAGCAGGTAGTGAGTGCATGGAGTGCGCAGTGGACACTGAGATGGTTGCCACGTGGGAAAGTGGGGCTGGGCTGGGAAGGGGGCAAGATTGTCCGGTCTTTTAGAAGTTGGAAATGTGGAATCTTAGGGGAAATCCCCCAATGTTTCAAACACTGGAACCAGTCCAAAGCTTTGGAAAAGTCTGAGGGCCAAACCAAACATGCCTGTGGGCCAGAATCAGCTTTCAGGAACCCAGTTGGTGACCACTGGTTTAATACATGTTGATAAATGAATTTACTGGCACTTGGCTAAATGGAATCTGGGAAGATTTATCTTTTGGGTGAGAACAAAACTCACGGGAAGGAAGTCACTTATCATTACTCAAGAGTTATTTGTTCAACTAGCAAAATATTGGAAACTTAGCCATTTGGGGCCCTTGGCGCATAGTAGAGAGCTGTCTGCCGTGATAGTCAGATTTGGCGTGAAGACTTGCAGGGGTTCGGTGTGGTACTGGTGTGCAGATGGGTCATATGTGTGGGACTGTAGATGCACGTTTGTTAGCGGGCCGTTTTCCAGTCCTTGGGTCTCGTTGCATGAGATTCCAAGCGATTCCACAAATGGGATCAGTAGTATGCACAGCGGGTATGGCCTGAGGTCTTTTCTCCATATTATCCTCTTTATCAGCCAGGTTTCAAAGAAGCAGAGCCATGGTGAGTGTTATGGAATTAAGGGATTTATAGAAATTGGCCCTTCCTCACATATGAGAGGAGCTGGGGAGGTGCAAGTCTTAGTGGAGTGGGGGGTGTCAGAAGGTTACAGAAAGTTCCATCTGGAGGCTATCCGAAAGGGACCATGAAAGGAAGCACATGAGAGGGATCTGAAGGCCAATGCCCCTGTGTCTGTGTCATTCCTACCTCTGCCATCTGTAGCCAGGTGTCTGGTGGTGGGCTGGGGCCCCTGCTGGCTGGCAGGGCCATTACTGAGAAGACAAGGGAGAGAGAGCAGAAGGAGACAGGGGCAAGCTGGGGCCCATTAGGCACCTTCCACCTGTTTACCAACTGTCTGAGAGTGATGGACTGGGCTTCACTTCTACTTTCAAATCTCACACAAGCTCCTCACGTGGCTAGCTGTGGTTGGACCACAGGGGGAAGGGTCTTCTGTTCAAGTGGGCTTCACAGCTAACCAAGTTGACAGTAGTAGCATCTGTGTACTCTCTGAGCAAGAATGATTATATCCTTAGACCCATGTACTGAGAGCTGCTGGATTCTCTCTCCTGCTCCTGAAAGCCTTCTTCCCATTCTGAAACACAGGACTTGGGTAATGCGGTTTAGGACCCCGGCCGTGGTCAGGTCAACATAGGTGTTTTTCTGCTTAGGATCCTCTCCACATTCAGTTAGCCATGTACATGCACATTAAGGGTAATTATTTTATCAGATCTTTCTTCCTGGAAAATTTTGGTCTGGTGGGTTGGAGGAAAGAGGGGTATTGGGAACCACCATGCAGAGAAGCAAAGGGGAGGAAGACAGAAACTTTGGAGGTTGGGTCGAGGGAAGCTGAATTCAATTTTGCCTTGGGCCCAACCCATGTAAGTCTCCTACCTTATCATTTTGTCCATCCGCTTATCTGTCTTATCATCAGTCCATTCATCCATCAGTCACATATATGTGTATCTATTCCTATCAGTCCATACACCTATATCTGTCCACATATTTATCTACCATATTTTCATCTAATCTATATCATGCTATATGCACGTAGATGAGAAGCTTTAGAATGGAAAATTTTATGGGTTTTTGACCCTCATGTTAAAAGTATTCTGTATCAGATAAATATAATGATCCTCTTTAGGAGGAAACTTCAATTCTAGAAATTCTCACACAAAATAAAGCAGTCTTAGATGTCTGCTCTTTTCAGCCATATAGTGAGATAATTGGTTTCTCTCCATATGAAGAGATGCTAGGGTAAATGAGAACTCCTGCTCCCAAATTTGTCCACCCTCTGCCTGACTCCAGAGTTGTTCTTAGAGAATTAAATCTTGGTGGTGAAGGGAAACGTCTTTGTAAGTTTATGGCTGAAGTTGGCAATTTTTGCCGAAGTATGAGGTGCTCTTAGGTGATACTTCAACTTTGTATTGAAATTTTGGCTACTTGTACTTCTTGACTGGTAGGTAGTATGACTGCTGAACAAAAGAAGGTAAATTACTTTCAAACCTCAGAACATTACTTTGGAAGTCCTGGAGCACAGAATCTGGTTTCCCCCTTATTTCCTATGTGGCAACTGAACTCCTTCTTATCACCTTACTCCCAATTTAGTAGATGTTTCTTCGTAAGTTTTCGTTGCCATAAAACTGACCAGACTCCATTTTCTTCCTCACGTTGTATGTTTCTAGTGTGTATTTATGTCTATATGTGTGTGGGTGGGGGAGTTACGTGGTGTGGAAGTTTTGAGGGAGATATTGTCATTAACGAATATTCTCCTGAAGCAGCTAAATATTCTGAGTAGAGATAGCCTTTTGCTCAGGTGCAGATCATTTTAGATTTTTTAAGAGAGCAGACATTTATTGAAGTCCTCCACATGCCAGGCACTGCTCTGGATACTTGGCCATGGTAGGTACTCAATAGGAAGATTGCCTACTGGTCATGCCCAGGTGCAGAACAAAAGAATGGAAATTAAACATTTGTGAATTCACCACATTACAGTCATTAATTTAATTTTTTTAAGATTTTATTTATTCATTTGAGAGAGAGAGAATGAGAGACAGAGAACATGAGAGGGAGGAGGGTCAGAGGGAGAAGCGACTCCTTGCTGAGCGGGGAGCCCGATGTGGGACTCGATCCCGGGACTCCAGGATCATGACCTGAGCCGAAGGCAGTCGCTTAACCAACTGAGCCACCCAGGCGCCCCTACATTCATTAATTTAGCGTGCATTTATTAAGCACCTACTATGTGCCTTAGGCATTGGGCTGAGTGCCAAGGATATAAGTGGTGAGCAAAAAGCCCTGTTAGAGCGTGCAGTGTAGCTGGGGAACAGACAATCAGATGATTGTACAAGTCAGTGTATTTACTATGGTAAATGTCTGAGGGGAGCTAACAGGTGTGATGGGAACATGAATTGGGGACCTAGTCATGGGGGGTTGGGCAAGGCTGTTGAGAGAAGGCAGGGATTTGAGGAGCAGATACACTGGGAAGAGAGACTAGCCTTTCTGCCATGTCTGCATGAAGCTATCCTGCAGCCCTCTGCATACTGTAATCAGAAAGCAGAGCATCCATGAGGGTGTTCCTGCTCTGCATCCTCTGTTTTGGGAACCTAAGTCATACCCCCAGGCCTGTTTGGTAGCAGGGCATAGCTGGCTCTCACTCCGAGGACTGTTCTCCAGGCTGACCGAGTCGCCTCCTGAGCTCTCCAGCTACACGTGCCAAGCCCACCGGGCACTTCATTCCCAGCCAGGGTCGGAAACTCACACAAAGTCCCCCTCCAGGCTCTCTCCTCTAGGAGAATTCCTTGACCCTTTGCCCTGTTCTGTCGTTCTTCCGATTACATCAGTGTCCATGCAGTGTGCCCACCATCTCTTTGGGGGAAGCTTACTGTTCTAGGTCAGGCCGCCCAGTGCAGGATCTCTTGCTGGCCTCCTCACAGATGGTCAGCCAGGCTGAAATTATAGAGCATGTTTCTTCTCCACCCGGGGCCGATTACTTGCCTTCCGAACACTCCCTTTTCAGACTTGCCTGCACACGGGCAAGGAGGTACAAGGGGTGGATGTTAGGGGCCAGGCTGATGGGGGGCAGGGTGGGGTAAGTAAACCAGTGTGCAAGAATTATTTATCACAGTCTTCCTGGAAATTAGTGGGGTTTCACCGAATCCATTCATTTCCTTCTCCTGATGAATGAATAATCAGGTGACTCATAGTGAGCTGCTAGTTAGAAGGTTGCAACATGTCCTCACTGGTTCTGTCCTATTAGACACTGGGGGAAAAGCTTATATTTGATGTGTTTTTAGGCACAATGTGTCAGTTCTTCTGAGACTTTTATTAAAAGCTCCCCCCCCCCCGCCAAAGGAGGCATAATTTAAAAAAGGTTTAAGAAGAACTGTGTTAGATCATCTTTTGTTTGCTGTCTGATTTCAAAGTGGTGGTGTGATTACTTTTAGGTAAAATCACTATAGAGGAATTTGGCAGAAATAATAGGAATTTCTGTTTGAAGGCATAATGAAGCCTAATCATTTTTCACAGTAGATATTCATGTTAACAGTAATCATATCACATAGTTATTGAACACTTACCATACGTTGGGCAGCAGGTTATGATTGTGTATGGATTATCATCATCATTTAATCTTTACAACAGCCCTGTGAAGGAGGTTCTGGTATCTTGACTTTACACATAAGGAAAGTGAAATAAGGTTAAATTATTACTAAGGGAAGAGTCCAAATGACAAGACAAGCCATCTGTCCTGGAAGAACATGCTCCTAGCCATTTCTGCAATGTGCACTCAATAGGAGAGCATGCTTGGTGCTGGAAAAAGGGTTCAGATTTAACACAGTTTTATGACCTGGCAAAATTCTTCTTTGGATGCAGCCATATTTCAAAGAGAATGGTGACTTGTACACGAATGCTCATAGCAAATTGTAATATCCCTAAACTAGACACAACACACATGTCCCTCACCATTTGGATAGCTAGACTGTGGCATATCCATACAATAGAATAATATCCAGCAGTTAAGAGGGAATGAACTGTTGAAGCACCCTAACATGGGTGAGTCTCAAACTATTATGCTAAATGAAAGAAGCCAAAGGAAAAAAAAATAGTATATGTGCTATATGATGCCTTTTATGTAAAATTCTGGGAAATGCAAATTAATTTACAATGACAAAAAGCAGATCAGCCGTTGACTGGGTATAGTTGGGGGTAGATGATGGGGGTGGTGGTAAGGAGAGGACTGTGAAGAAATTTTTCGGGGCGATGGGTATATCATTAACTTGATTTTGGAGATGGTTTCAGGATCATGTATATATGTCAGACTTACATTACCAAAGTGCACATTTTAAATATGTGTGGTTTATGGTATGTCAGTTATACCTTCATAAAGCTGTTATATATATATATATATATATATATATATATATATATGCATGCAGTGGGGAAAATCAAGGAGAATGATGTGTTTATGTGTGGGGCTAATAAAAGAGAAATTTGCATGGTGGGAACCTCATTCGCAGAGTGACCCCTGAACCCCAGAGAGGTTGTTACCATGAGATCAATCTATCAGTGGGTGTTTATTGAACACTCTGCCAAGGTACTTTGGGAGAATCGAAGGTTTGTGTGAGACACAAGCTTTTCCTATGCCTGGCACTGGAACCCATTCAGAAAGAGCCTGAGCTTTGTAGTCAGCTGGATACAGACTTGAATCCGGGCTCTCCCACTCTCAGGCTGAAGCCTTTGAATTCCTTTAACTTCTCTAAGCTTCAGATTTGTCGTGGGGGAAAACAGAGAGAACGGTGTCTTTATTTGAGGTTATCTTGAGGATATCAGTAAATACCAAATGCTTGGCCAAAGTCTGGAGCACACAGGGGGAATGCAGTGGCAGTGACCACGATTATCAAACATGTGAGCCGGGAGTGCATTTTAACTGGCCGACTGGAGAGGAGGAAACACTTGCGGCAGGCTGGTCTTCTCAGGCAACACTTAACTTGAAAGAGCTTTTGGAGCCTGTGCAGGCGTTAGATGAAGTAGAATGAGCTGAGTACAAGTGTAGAGATAGGACTACATAAATCAGTTAGTTTTTGGGGGGCGGGGGTTGCAGGGAGGAGGTCAGGTCGAGGAAGAGCAAAAACTTTAAGAAAGTTTTTGGGTGCAAAGAGTCGATAGACTTGAAGGCAGTGGTGGAGAAAAGGAACGGAGGGAAGATCTTTGTCCTGGGAGGACTTAACTTACTGTCATTATTGACGTTTTGTTCCAGACAGTTCTTTATTGCGGGGGCTGCCCTGTATATGTAGGATGTTGAGCGGCATCCCTGGTGTCTACCCATTAGATGAGAACAGCACCCCCCGCCCCTATCCAGTCAATCAAAAGTATCTCCAGCCTCTCAAGTGTCCCCTGGTGGGGGGGGCACTGAGAACCATTGCTCTGGCGGTTAGACCTGGCTTCACTGAAGATAATACTTTCTTTTCTACATTGGAAGGGAGAAAGGATTTGGAGCTTGTACAATAATGGAATAAACTGTTCTGGTCATAGAGGTTTAGCAGAAGTAGAGTGGTTTTCGGCATTGATCAGGAGTTGGAACTGATTGAGGTCCCGGTCCCGCCAATTACAAACATGGCCTTTGCCAGACAACCTCATTGTACTTCAGTTCACTTACCTGTGAAATGGGGGGCAATTATAGTACCTCCCAATAGGGTTGTTGTGAGAATAAATACATTGTGACTGAAACCATTAATTATTTACTTAAAGAAAGCAGCCTACCGTGTGTCCCTTTATTCAAAAGACTCTGAAAGCCACATCTGGGAAGATAAAGAAGTCTTTCTGTCTCGAGCAGTTGATTTTTAAAATGCCCATCTCTTGAAAGGACCTGTTAAAAAATTAGCCTGAAATGAAGGTATTGAAAGATAAGTGTGGAGAATGGTACTTTGTCTCCAAGCCGATTCTTTTTCCGTGGACCCACTGAGAGGTCCTTGTGTTACTATGTAAGAACCAGGTATCCTTGAGCAGAGCAGAAAATGGTATATAGGGCATGAAGTGGCTGTCACTGAAGTGACTGGCTGTCATTGAAGTGAGTGGCTGTCAGTGTGCTGTAAAGGAACTTCTGAGAGTAGCCTTGGCCCCAGAGAAAGCTCCATCTTCTTGGCCCTGAAGGAAGACCATTCCAGACACAAAAAGCAGACCATGAAAGGGCCTTTCATGCCAATGGGACTTTTCAGTGCCACTGGAAACCTTGTGGGGTAGCCAGATTGTCTTCTGTGACCAGTTCCAACTGAAGCCTTCTGTTGCTTTTTACAACACAGTTGTTTTAGAGGCTGCTCAGGAAATGCTATTAGGGATGTGTCAGGCTTCAACAAATGGGAATTTCCTCCCTGCCACCCCAGCTAGGGCGGAGCTTGGAGCAAGCAGCGGAGAGCCTGGCAGGATGACGGATGCAGTGGCTTATCAAGGTCAGGAGTAGCAGCTGGCCCCATTGTCCCACATTCAAAGAAGGAATCCCCAACACTGCAACACTCCGGGATTCTCACCCAAATTCCTCAGATTCCACACACACAAAGGAGGTGCCCTAGTGCCCGAGCAATCATCCTGGGGAAGGCAGATTATTTTAAGCCCTTGTGTTGCTTTCACTACGGAAAGATGGGCTTCATCTATCCTAAATAAAGGGTATTTAATAATACTTGCTTCTTACCTCGGGCTTTCTTTACTCGCCTAATTTCGTGAATCTAAGCTGCTTTGGAACATCATTCGAAATGTTCCAAAACAAAGTGAGAATCATTTGGTCCTGACTCCCTTTGCAGAAGGTGACTGTTAAAAGGGTTTAAAGAGATTTTTTTTTTTCACCTTAAAGAGTTGAAGCTCGTTCTGTGGCCTAACGTATATTATTCTGTGAGTACAATGCTTCCATTAGCCCAGTTGTCTTAAAAGTATGTAAAATCCTCCCAATAATTTAGATTCATATGACATGCTTGCTAACTTTATGACGGTTAGAGCTGATTCAGATGTGAAAAACAATAGAAATACAAGTAACCCAAAACAAAAATCTAGTAAAACAGACAGTGAAATAAAAGCAAAATGTCTGTCCATGTCCTGTCATTCAGACTCACTGATTGAGAAAAAAGAAAGTGCACAGATTTAAAAACTTAGAATGCAAATATCAGGAGGAAATGTTCTGAAGATTTTTTTTGGACAGTCTTTCCTAAACATTTCAAGCTGATTGATTAGAACCCATCCTGTTATCCACTGGCCAGTGTTTTGTGGTACCTTAGGCTCTGAATTTTAGGGAGTCGCCTTAATCACGTTCACTTGTAAGTCTGTTTACCATGGCTCAAGATTGGACAATGGTAAGGTTAGTCCACATTATTTACATATGACTTTGATGCAGAAAGACATTGAGGGCAAAGACTCCCAGCTTCTAAGTCTAGTCTGCTTATTCCCCTCCACGTTGTTTCTGACACTTAGCAATGCTCCCGACCCTCTGGCATACTTTTACTTTTTAGGAAGCATGTGGTATGGTAACCCCCTTTCCAAAGACCAATGGCCAGGCCATTTCTGCTTTCAAAAGGTGGTTACACTTTATGTTGGGAATGCATAGCAGAAAATAGCCAGCCAGCCATGTGGAGAAACAAAGCCAGAAGAGACAGTATATTTTCAGGAGCAATTTAGTGCATGATTGATCTTATTGATACTGCTAGTGTAGTGGTTGTAGCTCACTGGGTTTACCCAACTGGCCAGCACTCCGTGTTTGGGAAAGATCGTGGGAGAAAACACATTGATTAGATGCTAAGTTAACTCCACACTAATGTTAGGAAATCAGCCTGTCATTGCTAACTTGGAAAGATGTTCCAAGTATCCTGTGTCTTACTAATCTCTGACCAGGGTCACCTTCTCTGTACTTCAATTTGCTTGTCCAATCAGATCATCTCCACTTCTTTGATTTTCAACTGCTTTTAGTTAGACTCCTTTTCCCTCCAGAATACCTAAGGGGCAGTTTTGCCCAGGAAGCAAACTGATACTTAATGATTTTTTTTTAAAAGGACAAATTTCAAAAGTGTATGCTAATGTGCAAACTGAGTTCACTTTAATGCAACATCACTGTATCTGTATGTATGTGTATGTATGGATTCTTCTTTCTCTGCTAGTGTCAATGGCAGGGAATTTTTTTTTTTTTTTTTTACATTCTGTATGGTGTGATGGAGAAGACACTTGGCCTGTCATGAAGTGGGAATGAGGTCTGACATTAAACAACACAGGACACCTTCCTCCGATTCTCCCATCGAAATCTTAGGGCAGTATAATCTCCCTTCCTTTCCCCCACCCCCAGATTAATCAGGACCTTATCTATGAATGCTGTAGAGCAGGGCTGGCAAACTATGGCCGGCGAGCTAACAATGGCTCTCACATTTTTAAAGGGTTAAAATAATCGAGAGATGAAAATGTTTTGTGATGTGAAAATTATATGAAATTCAAACGCCAGCATCCATAAATAAAGTTTTATTAAAATCCAGTCTTGCTCATTCATTTACTTACTGTCCCTGGCTGATCTCCCCCAGTAGTGGAAGGGTTGAGTCATTACGGCAGAGACCTTATAGTCCACAGGGCCGAGAGAGTTTACTCTTCGGCTCTTCACAGAAAAGTCTGCCTATCCCCGATGTGGATGCAGATGGAAGATTAAGAGCCTCGGAGTCAGGTGGTATGGGGCCCAAGCCTTGGTCTCCTCGAAAGTAAAATAGCTACAGATTTTCTATTTCTGAAGGTTTTGGTGAGGACACACACACAATTGGCTCTTGAACACCATGGGTTGAAGTGTGTGGATGCACTTACAGGGTTGTTTGTTTGTTTGTTTGTTTTTGATAAATACAGTGCAGTACTGTACATGCATTTTCCCTTCCTTAGGATTTTCGTAATAATAGCTTGTTTTCTCTAGCTGACTTTATTGTAAGGATTCAGTATGTAATACATATACAAAATAGGTGTTAATTGACAGTTTATGGTATTGGTAAGGCTTCCGGTTAACAGTAGGCTTTAGTAGTTAGGTTTTTGGGGAGTCAAAAGTTATACATGGATTTTCAACTGAGTCGGGTGCCCCATCCCCCGTAACGTTCAAGGGTCAACTGTGTGTGTGTGTGTGTGTGTGTGTCTACACATACATACTTTATATGGATTTATTATATATATATATTCCAAGTATCCTGTGTCTTACTAATCTCTGACCAGGGTCACCTTCTCTGTACTTTAATTTGCTTGTCCAGTCAGATCATCTCCACTTCTTTGATTTTCAACTGCTTTTATTTAGACTTCTTTTCCCTCCAGAATACCTGAGGGGCAGTTTTGCCCAGGAAGCAAACTGATACTTAGTGATTTCTATATATATTATATATATATATGAAGTGGAAAAATCTGTAATAACCTATATCTATATAACATATTTATGTATATACGTATCTCATGGGCGCTCAGTGTTTGTGTCTTTCCTTTTCAGTGTTGCCAGTATTTCAAGTTTGTTTCCTTACCTTCTGTCACCTGTTCAAACAGAGCTATAGCAGAAAATATCTTTTCCAAGTATAGCTGAAGAGTTAGAAACTCCTCCTTCCCTCCCACCCTCCTCTTCCTTTATTCAGTGTTTCTTTCCTCCATGAAACTGCCAGCATTCGGCCCCGAGAGGGCAGCGAAATGTCATTTTACCTTGAGGTGAATGGGTATATAGAATTGGTCTTGACCTTGAATGAGAGAAAAGCACGTCAGGCAGCATCCAGTCGGTGGAACTTCAGAGGAGCTGCTGGGTGAGAGGAACGTGGAGCATTGATCTCTGGTGGAGAGTTTCACCCGTGACACTGAGCCCTGTGCAGAGCAGTTCCCGGGGCGGACAGCGGGGGCGGGGGGCGGGTAGGGGGGAGCCCCTGCTGTCATGTGGCCACCTCCACCTCCAGAGCCCAGTTCTTTCTGTTAACACGCTTCTTGTTAAGCCCATGTGGTTGCTTTCTAAACTGCATATCCACAGGCCAAAAAGAAATAAAAAGCTTCTCCGCGTGAAGATGAAGGTTCTTTGGCAGTATCTTCCTCTGTCTCTTAGTCAGCACAGCAAACAGAGAACTCCCTTCTTTCCGACTTAAGTTACACATATTTTTTTTCCTCTTTTTTGCTTCCAAAGCTGGCAGCCTCATAAGAGCAGCATTCAAGGAGACTGAGCCAAGGATGCGGGGCATCATGAAAGGAGCATTTCTTGTCCTCCTGGCCCCCTTTCCCTTTGTGCTGTCTCTACCATGTATTATTAGCCACCTTGCGAAGTCGGAGCTTTGCCAGCAACTGGTTTCTGGATGCCGTGGGTCGCTGTCAAGATCTGCTTGTCCAGCAAAATGAGTTCGTTTCTGCCATTTGTAGAAAAAAAAAATCTAATCAGACTGTCTCACACTCATTTAGGTTATTAGTATAGGTGGTAAGTCACCTAAGTAAGCTGGAAGTAACGCTGATGCGGGGTGCTCATTACAGTTTGGGTTTTAATGTGAATTTTGCTCAAATTGATGAATAGTGTGCCCATTTGGCTTTTTACTTCTCTTGCTGTTCAAAAAAAATAATAACTTCGACCTTCCTATCTTTCTTTTTTAAAAAATATTTTCATGTGACCTACCAGCCCCAATTAGTCGTCTGTAATGTGGGGTAGGAGTGTCATTTCAAATCTTTTATCATTTGGGAGTTTTCTGGTGGGGGAAGGTAAATAACAGAGCTGCTTTAGTTCTTGTTATTGGCTTATGATGATAGTCTGGAATTATTTTATAGATTGTGTTTGGCTGCCAGCATGGTGCTTGGGTGTGATTAATTTGTGCAGCTTGCCATTGGATAAATAATATTCATTCCTTGGATCCTTGTTCAGAAGGGATTAGCCAAGTGAACTGGAAAACATGCCTTTGCAGGAGAGCTTTTGCTGTTTGTGATAATCAATGAACAATCTAGTGGCTGATTTAATTCAATTCTTACAGAACTAGCTGACTCATTGGCTCTTAATGCTTCTTAACTTCTTGGGCAGTGTTTTAATCTTCAGTTTCTTACACATATACCAATATTATAGTGGACATAGTTCAGAACTTAACATTTCCCTAGGGACCTTGCTCTGAGAATTCAAAATAAATACCTTGTGAAGTGGGTTTCAAGAAAATTGTTTCTCTGATGGGTCTGTTTTTTTTTTTTTTCTGTCTTTCTTCTAATGGAAAAGAATTGCTTTGAGAAAGTAAAATAAACTTAGCTTTTCTTGTAAAGGGAGGATTAGAACAAAATACAACATAAAGCATGGGGCACCGGAGAGACCTATATGGCATAGAACTCTCAAAGCCCATACCATGGCTTTGGGTTTTGGTCTTGCATCATTTATAGGGCTAAATAATTGATAGTTAAGCATTTGCCCTGTGGGATGGTTGTAGCATGTTCCACCAGGAGGCAAGGGTTTCTGTTCAAATTTACAGTTCACTTGATTTATGTATCAGATGAGTGACTGCAAAATAGAGGGGTCAGTTTAGGAAAGCTCTCTTCATTCTGCTCTCCTTTGCCTTTTGAATGGTTTCCTCGTGTGTTTTGTTCATGTGAACAATGCACTGACTTGCCCTGTGAAGAGGAGCTGGCTAGTTGCTTATAATTGTAGTAACATGTCTTTTGGTTACCAGGGAGTGAAGTGGTAAAGGTCCCAGGTACTGATTTGTTTTTCTTTGCTTTTTTTTTTTTTTTTTTTAAATGCCTTCATGGACCAGACTGTTTCCCCACCTCAATTTCAGCCTAAGCTTAAAGGACAGGTGAACGTAAGGTTGGAAGATCTAACTAATAAATATACAGGGTGGCTGGGTAAATTTGAATTTCAGAGGCACAGTGAATAACTTTTTAATACTGAATATGCCCCTGTATTTTATCTGGCAACTCTAAGGGAGTACGGGGGCACTAGGTTTCCTGACGGCCCTCAAGTTAGATCAGGTACACAGAGATAAAATTGTGAGTGGGATATAAGAATGGGAAAAGAGAGGCACCCGGTTGGCTCAGTCGGAGGAATGTGTGACTCTTGATCTCAGGGCCGTGAGTTCGAGCCCCAACTTAAAAAAAAAAATGGGAAAAGAGAGTGCCATCTATTAGGCATGTTTTGTATCAAGTCCTGTGTAGTTAGTCCTCAACTTGTGAGATGGGTGTTAAAAAACACTTTTTACCTTTGAGGATGACAATAGCTAACATTTATTGAGTGCCTTCAAAAACTTCCGTGTATCCTCATTCAGTGCTGAAAATAACCCTGTGAGGGTTCAGTACTATTAGGATTGCCATTGGACAAAGAGGAAGCTGAGCTGAGGTCTTGTGACTAGTAAGGGATTGTTTGGAGTTGAGGAAAAGGGATGCATGAGGGTTATCTTGCTCAGGGTCCCATGGTTAGTAATTAGTGGAGCCAGGATTCCAATGCAGGACCCTTCATTTCAGTAGTTTTACTTAGGCTGCGCATTGGAATCCCTGGGGGTGGGGGGTGGGGGGGCATTAGAAGCCACAAATACCTGGGCCCACCCCCTCCACCTCCCCCAGGGAGCTGAATTTACTTGGTCTGATATTGGCCTGGCTCTCAGGATTTTTAAAACTTCCCTAGGCGATTTTAATGTGCAGCCAGGGTTGAGACCAGCTGCTTTACCCCGTTTTTGGAGTAAAATGAATTACTCTCTTTAGGAAATCTAGTCGCTCTATGTGGCCATTCCTTTAGCTCCTACCCCTCCTCCACAGAAACTCACCATTCCAAATCTGGCAGCTAATTTTTCATGGTCTTTGTTTCCTCAAAATTATTTTCAGGAAGTCCTGGTGAATATATGTTGGGGTATAAACAAACCACAAAGAAAGACCTCTTGGGGGTATTCTGTTGATGGATTTTCTGAGCGGTCTTTTCTTTTTTCATTCCCCCATTATACTTCCTGGAGGAGGGAATATCCCTTTGTTCTTCATTTAGCTCCAGCTGGGTACCAGGCTGGGTATTTGAGGAGGTTTACAGATTAATAAAACTAGACCACTACCCTCCAGGAGTTTTCAATTTTGGGAGGGAAGTATATAAATGTAATTCTAGGTTTAATTTTCTAAAAATCACCTCAGAGGAGTACAGAGTCTGAGGGAATACAGAGGTGGTGTGGAGAGCGGCCCCTGCTGCCCGAAGCCCTGGTTCGAATGTCTGCTCTGCCACTTAGCCTGTGCCCTTTCTGTCTCCATGCCCTCCTTGGCACAGGGGCCACGCCGGTCCTTTGATGGGAAGCCGGAGTCAGTCAGCGCCTGTGAAGTGCACACTGCTGCCGTCGCGGGCCCAGCCAAAGCATGAGTAGTAGGTTTATTGTTGCTTGAATTCACAGGGCCAAGAATTTTCCTGAATTTGGTAGCTGGTGAGGAGTCAGGAAGGTGCATGAATGGGAAACCAAACATACTTCTGGAAGATAACCTATGGCCCAGTAGGAACTGGAGTGGGTTGGGAGGGGACCCCAAGACCCTGGGTTGGCTAAAAAAAAAAAAAAAAAAAAAAAAAAAAAGATTTCTAAGCTAGAGGGAATAAGGGCCTTCACTAGCTTGAACACAGCAGAAATAGGAAGGGGGAAGGCTTTTGGTACAAGGACGCGGAAACACATTACATATGGTGAGTCGGGGAGAGAGGGGGACAGCTTTCAGCCTCGATGGTGACATTCACAGACAGACAACATAGGAGGAGAGGCTGAGTCTTAAAGGGAAAAGGATGATGGATTAAGTTCTGGGCAAAGTTCTCTTGCAACCTTCATCCCAAGCCAAGCACAGTGCCGTGGTTGCACATTTGGGGATAATGTAGCATCTCTATAACTTGCGCTGGTTTAAGAGCTTGAATGAAGGTAGGTCCCCGCCATGGTCGCCGTCCCGTCCGTCCTTTATGTTGAACTCAGGCTTTCTTGCCCTGCTCTGTTTAGGTGCAAGTGTAATACGTGGCACAGGAAATCGATAAATCTTCTATTGCCGTTTGACCGATGGGGCACTTTCTTTATTACCAGACAGTTCTGCAAGCAGTAAATACTTCTGGTATCCTGAGTATACTTACTTCTAAAGGGGAGTTAGAGTAATGAGACATTTACTAATGCCAGGCTCAACTTATAATTCAGAAACAGAAGGCAGATGACTCGGGAAGACTGCTCCCACTCACGATTTTTAAGGTCATTGGAAAGTTTCCGTTTTTGTTGCAAGCTCTGTACTTTGTGTATGATATGTTGAGCCTTTTAAAAGATTGCTAACACTTAAACATTTTATCTTTGCCAGTATAGCCTGGACCAGGGGTTGGCAAACTTTTTCTGTAAAGTGCCAGACAGTAAATATTTTAGGCTTTGTGGGCCCCACAGTCTCTGCGGAGACTACTCAGCTCTGCTGTGGTAACATGAGCACAACCATAGACAATATGCAAACAAGTGAGCTTTGCCGGTTTCCAGAAAGCTTCGTTTACGAAAACAGGCGGTCCCGGGACTTGGCCCTCAGGCCGTGGTTTTCTGACTCCTGGGATAGTATATGGGCCTTTGGGGCAGAGCTTTTGATTTAATCTATAAGTTCTTAGCTGTGTGACCGACCCTCCATTTTATCAGCTGCAAAATGGGACCAGGAGAAGAACCAACCTCAGAGGGGTTATTATGATATTAAATGAGATCACACGAGGAGGTTTGCAGAGTGGCCAGGACATAGGAAGGGCACAGAAAAGTTAGCTAAGGAAAAGGAAAAAAACCAAAACAGTGATGTTCCATTTTGGCCTGCCTTATACACAACCCTGATGTTTGATTGCAGTCATTTTCAGGTAAGACAGAGAGAATATGAAGCAAAATTTTTGAAGGACCATTTAAGATCCCAGCTCTGCCCAATGAACAGATATGAACTAGTTATATATTGGCTTTTAATAGACTAGAAGAACTCAGTGAGATCATGGAAGCTCCACATAGCCAGTATTGTTTATTCTTTGAATGGTTTTTCTTCTTGGAAACTCTGTGTCATTCCCTTTCTGAGAGTGTGTTAGACTTCAACCTAATTTTTGGTGTAGATTCGGGCTCCCCTCCCGTCCCCCACAACAGCACAGGTGTAAGGAATACTTTCTGCAAATGAAACATAACAAGCACTTATTGGGCGCCTGCTGTATGTTCAGATTGAGTTGTGGTGTTTTCACTTATCCTGGAGTTTGCTGTGGAGTCGGAAGAGAAGTACGTATGTACGCGAAACGGCCGGCACAATGTGAATGTATGTAATAGTATATAAATAAGTGAGGGCTGTGTGTGTGTAAAGGTGCCGAGTCGATTCAGCCTGAGGAAAAAAGTCAAATCAGATGGTGTTTGCCCCTGTGGACCTTTCTTGGAGAAAATCCGGTTGGGGCCTTGTGAGTGCTGCATAGATATTGTTCCTAGGAAATAATACAGCCCTGTTCCCCACAGGCATCAAGATTGATTTTTGTGGATAAAGTGTCTCCTCATTTTAAAAATGGCACGGAATCACCAAAGCAGTGACATAGAGGGTGGAACTTTGTGGTGACAGCCCGTGGGGACAGTAATGGCTTTAGGCATTTAGTTTCCCTTCACACTTGAAAGAACCCCAAAGTGAGGGTGATTTATTTATTCATGAAAACACGCCACACACAACTGCTCCTCGCACCTGGAATTCTCGTTATGGGTGGTCAGGCTGATCTGGTGAGAACAATGGTGGGAGGAGAGGTGAGGATGGCAGCCGCCCAGAGCAGGTATTTGGGGCTGTGGGGTTCACTCCCGTAAACCCAGCGTTCGGAAACAGAGTGTGCCCTGGAGTCGGGGCTCGATATTTTCTGAATAGGTGAGCAAAAGAAATGCTTGAGATCGGCCTGTTGCCCTAAATTTGGTGTGGGGCACACAAGCAGAGTAGTCTAGTGACGGAATGGACATCAAACGAGGGAGAATTGTTCCGCAGATGGGGGATGTGATGAGTGTTCGGGTGGCCAGATGTGAGAGCACCAGGGGTCCATCTCAAAGTTCAGGAAGGCTTCAGTCGTGGTATTGTAGGAACTTGATCTTTAAGGGTGGGTGGAATGACATCGGGCGTACCAGAGCAAGGAGAACAGGGAGGGCATGCCTAGCAGAGGACTGGGCAAAGACACGGTGGAATTAAAGAATAAGATGGGCCCGGGGAGTCCTCACAAGCCCTCTGTGCCTGGGGAAAGGCTCTTGAGAAGGGTCATTGATAGACATACCTGGAGCCCCACTGCAGCTGACTTCTTGACATTCTGCAGGGACCACAGTTAGATTTCTTGGCGGGTCCCTCCTTGTGTTCTAAGTATCAAAGACCTTATGGGTGTTCCCTTAAGGTGGAAAGTATCTTCTTCAGCAGGGCAGACGCAGGAGAGAGTAGAGTGGAGGTGCCTCATCCGTGCAGTTGGCCAGATCCCCTCACTCAGCCCTGGGCTCGGTGGGGGGGACAAATGTGATATTCAGCCAATGTATCGTGCATACTTCTTTTTGGTAGGAAGCGGTAGGAAGTGACATTTCCTCCTTTAAATAACGGCTACCATTTCTTGAGGAGCATGATTCATGTGCCGGATACTGTTTGAATGGCTTTACCTCTAATCCTTGTTTTGGAATTCTGTAATATCCCTGTGAGATTGGTACTGTTAGCCCTGCTGCTGTGGCTCTGGGCAGAGACCTTATCTGTTCAGTTCCTTGCTGTGTCTCCCATGCCTAGAAAGGGGCCTGCCCATAGTAGGTGCTGGGTTTTGAAAGGTTTGGTGAACTGCAGACATCATCTAATCAAGTCACCCTGGTTCCATGTGGCAGTTGGAGACAGAAATGTATGATTTCCAAGTGTGGATTCTTCACTCTGTACAATTGTCGTCTCCCTGACGCCTGCAGGAGGAGATCCCTCTGTTTTTTGGACCTGAGGACTCCTTCTTAATGTTCTGGTTGTGGAATGCCCAACACAGATACTTCTGGTCATTCTCTAATTTGTTACGGATAAAAAATTTACAATAAACGAGATGATGTTTAGAAATGGCTTTGTATTTCATATATTACAACAACGTGTGTGTGTGTGTGTGTGTGTGTGTGTGTGTGTGTGTGTACTTGTCCTAATCCCATCATCTGACAGTGCTTGCTTTGTACAAGAACTGGGTCCCATGCAATAATCCAACTCCAAAACTGACAGATGGGGAAATTTGTGGCTTAGAGCATGAACTCTGCTCCTGGCGTCCGGGTTGGGCCTAAGTCCGGGCTGACCCCAGAGCTGGAAATTGACCGGCTCAGCTGACAGGCCCCTTATCAAATAAGGAGTTCATTCCCTTCACAGACCTTTTCTAAGGCCTCATCTTCCATCTTCCGAGTCTTCCCAACGGGGAGAAAATAGGAAAGTTCTTTGCCCCAGGGAGCTTGTAGTCTGCTAGAAGAGATAAAAATGGAAATGGGGCAGACTGTGGCAGGAGAAACAAGGAGAGAAGAGAAGAACGTTGGAGACTGTCTCACAGGTTTCTCTGTGGTCCTTGGATCTGAATGAACACCACGATTTTCTGTCTTGTTCCAGTTGTAGCATGGGCGTTCCTGAAGGAAGCATAAAGGAAACTTCCATTAATAGAGCCGAACATGGCACTGGTTCAGTAGGCTTGCTCTCCAGCTTATGGAGCAAAAACATAGCCAAAGGGAAGGAGGAAATGAAGGGAAGGATGTTTGAACTCATCAGGAACCCAAACAACTATGTCTAGCATCTCCTCCTGCCCTCATCTCCCAAGGTAACCACAAGATAGTTTCATAAAGAGAGTTCTCCACAACTTTCCATCACTTTGACGACAGTTGGGATTCCCGTCTCTGGGAACAAAGACTCCCTCGGGAAGAGAGTTGCTACAGGGGATTAGCCTGAACCTATAGTTTGAGGGCTGGGAGTTAGGCCAGCAGGTTTTTTTGTTTTTGTTTTTGTTTTTTTCTTTTTTGAACGGTAGAGCAATCTGTTAAAAATAATGTTTAAAAAAATACATCTAAATCTTGTTTCTCACCATAATGAGAAAGATGGTACAAGAGGTCAAACCTTGGCTCTTTCTGCTTCTCATTTGAAATGTTTATGAGCCAGAAAGCTTCTTCATTAAACAACAGGTTCAACATTGCAGGGCTATATGTTTTGGGGGCTATTGTGCTTTCACAGACTTTTTGAAATGTAGCCACACTTCAGGGTGAAAATGCCAACATGGACATAGTAGAGGTGCTTTTATCTGCCGTCCTACCTTAGTGGATTTGTTTTGTTTGTGTGTTCATTTATTTTTGGAAAAAACCCATCAGCCTGCTCAGTCCCTGATCTCACCAACCCAGTGAAGGCAGACCCTTTCAAACTCTTTCACTCTCAACTCATAATTTATGTAAACTTTTGGGGCCTGCTTGGGTGTTCTGGGAAAACAGTTCATCAGCATCTTCTCCAAAAATTCTCATTTTTCTGTCATTTTGACTTGCTTTTACCAGATGGTGGTCTTCCCATTGTGCTTCCTGGTTCTGAATGTTGAAACAGAATATAGGCTTTACCTCGGAGTAAAAGAAAGAACTAGCAAATAAATGATCTGGGCCTATGTAGTCCAACATACATTTAAAAAAAAAAATGAGCTTCCGCTGTGTGGAATTAGACGATGCCACAGAAGCTGTTGAGTTATTCATTCATCCCTACCAATATTTATTGAGCTCAGTGTTCCCACGGCTAGCTACGGGGGACTGAACGAGAAATTAACAAAATCACTGCCCTAGAGGGGCCTACATTCTTCTTGTTGGAGTGCGTGTGGAGAGAGAAGATAGAAAATCTAATGAATTAACTAGATTGTTTGAGAATATAGTAAATTCTATGAAAGAGATAAATGGTCCATGCGAAAGGGAAGAAGATAAGAAGGAGAGATCTTATGGTCAAGGATCAAAGGATCCTTTTCTGAAATGGATGGAAGTGGTGAGTGGGCAGGTTTATTAGGATCGTTTTGGTGTAATTTAATGAAGGATACTGATAGATGAATATTTGTGTCCTGCCCCTCCCCCCCATTCATGTTGGTCCTCGGTGGGATGGTGTTTGGAGATGGGGCCTTTGCAAGGTGCTTAGGTCCTGAGGGTGGAGCCCTTATGAATGGGATCCTTGCCCTTATAAAAGAAACCGCAGAGAGTTCCCTTGCCCCTTTCCACCACATGAAGACACAGCAAGAAGACAGAGTCTATGAACCACGAAGTGAACCAGACACCGAACCCTGCCAGAACTTTGACTTTGGACGCTCCAGGCTCCAGGACTGTGGGAGCTACATTTCAGGGGTTAGAAGCCGCCCAGCCTGTGGCCTTCTGTTAGAGCAGTCCGGGTGGACGAAAGTCAAAGGGTGATGACTTCAAATGAGACAGTGCTGGCTCTAAATCTCAGCCTTACCTTCTTGGATTTCCTCTCAGCAAATAGGAGAAGCAGTTGTCTGCAGGGCTGTTAAAAGGACCAAAGACAAACACGGCATCCCATGGCACGGCCCGTGCTCGGTAAACAGGAAGGGCTGTTTTGAGCATTAGATGTCCTATTTGCAGGTCCTCCGTGAATTACAACTTCAGAAGAAGGGGACATGGCTGATCAGAACTGTTTTTAAATTAAAATTAAACCCACTCGATTTAATTTGGTGGTCAGCAAAGGCCAAACACAGAGAGGGTGGCTGAACGTGATCCCTCCTGCCTGATATGCTGATTTGACCCCTGCCAGGGTATCCTGCGAAGTCCCTAGCACGCAGCAAACACAGCCTTCTATAGTCTGCAAACCGCTGTTGATTTCCATTGAATTATATTTAATCCATTCAGGGCACAAATAAGCCTCCATTGGAAGTTGCTCTTTATAGAACTTGTTCTTATTCCACATGTTCTCTTTTCACATGTTGCGTGTTTTAAATACTGTTAGGATGTCTCCCCCTCTCCCGCTTCAGAACAAAATACTTCTGGGACCCGGCACTCAAATTCTTCTTCTCCAGCTTATTTTTACTTTCTTTAAAATCTCTTCCTGATACAAGGAGAGATCTAGAATTGTGCTGGAGGAGGAAAATTGTAAGACTGAAAACTAACCCATCCAAGGATATTTAGCCGATTGGGAATAGAGAAAAGAAGAGATTTTGAATTTCTCTTCTTTCAGTGGAGAACTCCTATTTGACTTTAACTAATGTCTAAAACTGGTATAGCACATTCAGTAATGTATGTGCATGCTACCTAGAAATAGTCGAATCATGAACTGTGTGTGTGTGTGTGTGTGTGTGTGTGTGTGTGTGTGTGTGTGTAAGAGAGAAGAAACACGCATTTCTCTTTTATGGTTTGTCCTTAGAGGGGAATCCTTTCAAGAATGTTCTCATCTGAAAACTGTAAGGTGCTTGAGGGCAGACATCAGTGTCTTTAGATACGCATGTGTTCACGTGTGTAAGCCTGGGCAAGCTCATGTCTCACCTCTCCTGCCTTTATCAGCTGCACTCCTCTAACTTTCCAAGGTCAGTGGGGGCTAGTTTATTTCACATGGACATTTTATTTTACCCAGGTTATCCTGGAGAAAATTCTGAAGAGTCATAAGCATTGATCATGAAATTAGAAAATGTGACTTGTAAAAGGAGGCCAACGTAGAAATTTAAATTTCCTCTCCCTTTTACCCTTGAGCATTTCTGAGGCCAGTGTTTCCTACTCCTGGTCTGATACAATTAGCACCTGGGGAGCAAAATTTGGTTTGTAAGGATTTTCTCCTAGAGGTGCTGATTGACTTGGTCTGGTGTGTACCACTGACCTCTGGTGATTCTTGTGTTAAGGCAGATTTGGAACACACAAGAAGATGAGAAAAGGGGAATAAGATACAAGTTCACTTGGAAGGGTACTGCAGAAATAAGGAACAGAATTGGCAAAGTTCTGCAGGTTCAGAGTATTGAAGAAAGGCGCGTGGTCCTGGGTGCCCCTGGGTGTGTGTGGGGGGAGGTGGGGGTAGGAAGATAAAGCCTATGAAGGCCTCGACAGACACTTGATGAAGGGCCTCGTGTTCAAGGCTAAAGAGTTCTACCTTCATCTTGGGCCCAGTGCTGTGTATTTTTTTGTCCTTATTGATCGTCACAATATTGTTTATTAAATTGAAACATTGTAGAATTAAGTTGACCCCTAAAGGGAAATTCTCCCATAAATCTATCCTGCCCAATTCAAACAAAATTGCCACTATAAAGGGTTTGGTGAAGCAGATGATGAGTGACTTAGAATTACAGTTCTGATCATGGGTGAAATGGAATGTAGTGGAGAAAGATATTATACAATTTCAGTGTCCTCAGCAGGAGGTGAATGAGGCTCTGAACCAAGGCACAGGGGGATGCAGAACAGATGAGGCAGCTGGGGGATGCTGGTGCATTGAGGAGCAGAAAAGATGGAAAGAATCCGAGGGACCTCTGAGGTTTCTGGCTCTGGGTTAACTGGCTGTGTCCTGGTGTCAGTAAGCATGCTTGGGCATGTAGTGGGAGATATATGGTTGGGGACATGTCAACTTTGAGGTGTGTGGGGTGTGTGTGTGTATGAAGATGTCTGTTAGCCTGCTGGAAATACGGAAGTACACCTTAGGAGTGAGTTATTTAGAAATACGGATTTGGAACACACGGATACATGGGGGAAAAATGACATACAGAGAAATGGAGGCAGCAGAAACAATAGTAAAATGGGCCATAACTGCTTAAGTATTTTTGTTTGCAAGGCTTCACCAGCTAAGGGCCCACACGTAGATTGCAGTCCAGAAGAGAGATGAGCGAGGTATCTGCGCAGGTCGGTGAGGGGATGGAGGACCTTCCCAGATGAATTCACCAAATGTAACTTCTCATGCTGAAAATCCCCAAAGGAGCCATCATGTTGTGTTGTTTAACTTTGGAGAAGTCCAAATACAGAATATTTACAAATTTAGAGAAACGTTCAATTCAGATTCTGAGTGTTGTCATTCCCATCGCTATGTGGTGGAAGAAATCGTCTTTCTTGAGGATACACTTTTAAATGTACCACTGAAAAACCGTGACTATGATGAGTTTTGGATTTTTGATATTGGATGTGTGTGTGTGTGTGTGTGTGTGTGTGTGTGTGTGTGTGTGTGTATTTGAATCGAGTTCATAGAAGTTATATTTGGAATCATTCGTCTTCTGGGGTAAATTTTGTTTAAATTACTAAATAATTGTAAATTATTTTTCTATTTACCTCTCTATTCTAGATTAGAAAGGATTATATCTTAGTTTAGAAAGTTTGAACTTAAAAAAGGGCAAATAAATACATTTTTAAAAAAATTTAAAACAGTGGTGTTATTTATATGTATGTGAATTTGTGGCGGATTCTAACAGCTCAGGTTTGGAAAGTGCGCTGACCTCCCATAGCTTCAGACACTGCCGCTCACCACTCTGGAGGTAACTCAGTGCCTCTGGGCTTCAGCCTCCTGTTTGCAGGTGAGGATGGCGACCAGCATAGCTCAGGATAGTTTGAGGATTAAGTTACACTCTGGATGAAAAGCCCAAGAGCAGTTGAAACCTGCCCAGGGTCGGTATTCAAAAAATGTCCATTGCCTTTTTTTCTTTTTCTCTTTTTTTCTCTCTTTCTTTCTTTCTTTGGGAGGAAGGGAGGGGGAAGGGCAGAGAGAGAGGGAGAGGGAGAATCTCAAGCAGACTCTGTGCCCAGTTGCAGAGCCTGACTCAGGGCTCGATCTCACGACCCTGAGATCCTGACCTGAGTTCACATCAAGAGTCAGAAGCTTAACTGACTGAGCCACCCACCCAGGCACCCCACCATTCTCTCCTTTCTGAAAAAAATCATACTGCTTCTGTTCAGACTCTTTTGTAACACTCTATTTTAACATGCTACTTACTATACTATCAGAAACCATGTTTCCCAGTGCATCTAGTGCACTTCATAATTTCTAATTCAGATTTTTCATTAAAAATTTAAAGCTTTTTAGTTTCATCAACTCATTTTTTTTGCTGCCGATACGTGGCAGGGCAGGGATTTCTCTATGTGCCCTTTTGGTGGCAACTGAGTCCCTGGTGTCCAGTAATAAGTTGAGCCCCTGTGTCCAAATAGAACCTGATGAGTGCCATGTTTCGGCCATCGGTGGAATGCTTTCTGCCTCTGCGGCCCGTGGCAAGGGTAGAATCAGAGAGGCGCCTCTTTGGACTGGTAGTCCTTCCGAGTATTATAGCAGTGCTGAC